AAGAACTTTCCATAGTTTATTGTGGTCCACACAGTCAAAGACTTTTGCGTAGTCAATGTAGCAGAAGTAGATGTTTTTCTGGAACTCTATGGCTTTCTCCATAATCCAGCGCATGTTAGGAATTTGGTCTCTAGTTCCTCTGCCCCTTCGAAATCCACATTCTGGGAGTTCTCAGTCCACATACTGCTGAAGCCTACCTTGGAGGATTTTGAGCATAACCTTGCTAGTGTGTGAAATGAGTGCAATTGTACATTAGTTGAAGCATTCTTTGGCACTGCCTTTCTTTGGGATTAGGATGTAGACTGATCTTTTCCAATCCTCTGGCCAATGCTAAGTTTTCCAAACTTGCTGGCATATTGAGTGTAGCACATTAATAGCATCATATTTTAAGATTTTAAATAGTTCAACTGGTATGCCATCACCTCCACTGGCCTTGTTTTTAGCCATGCTTTCTGAGGCCCACTTGACTTCAGGATGTCTGGCTCAAGCTCAGCAACCGCACTATCTGGGTTGTCCGGGACATCCAGATCTTTCTGGTATAATTCTTCTGTGTATTCTTGCCATCTCTTCTTGACGTCTTCTGCTTCTGTTAGGTCCCTACTATTTTTGTCCTTTATCATGTCCGTCTTTACACAAAAAGTTCCTTTAATATCTCTAGTTTTTTTGAACAGATCTCTGGTTTTTCCCTTTCTATTATTTTCCTCTATTTCTTTGCACTGTTCATTTACGAAGTCCCTCTTGTCTCTTCTTGCTATTCTTTGGAAGTCTGCACTCCATTTTCTGTAACTTCCCCTATCTCCCTTACAAGGTTCACTTTTAAATCATTTTCAACTTGACAGCACATAACTAATGGTTTTAAGGAATAAAATGTCTTCTGTGACACTGCTTTTTAAGTTGGGACTTCTGTTTAAAAAAATCATTTTTTTCCCTGTGAGGCCCACCTGATGCTCTTTGGCAGTGAGGAGAGCTTCTATCAAGAAGTAACACTGCTAGTTACTGATATTCTTGTGTAGATTATCAAGCATGCTTTGTTTGTTTGCCACCTCCTGAATAGGACTTTGCAAAGAAGGCCAGTAGGAATGGGAAAATTAATATCAGTGACTTTGCTAATCGGCCACCAATCCAGTGATCATTTGTATATCTGCAAGAGTCCCTATGTGAATAGACTGTGTTTTGCCACAATAAGGATGAGTTATGCATCCTTAGGGACCACTGTTATTTTTCATTTTAATAGCCATTTGGCCTAAATACAGTGTTGCCCCGCATGACAATGATAATCCGTTCCATAGAAATTGCTGTTTAGCGAAATCATCGTCTTGCGAAAACCATTTCTCCATTGGAATGCATTGAAACCCGTTTAATGTGTTCCATTGGTGAAAATTCGTTGTTGTTTTGCGGAGATCGCCCATAGGGCAGCCATTTTGTGAAGCGTCAATCAGCTGTTAAAATGGCTATCCTGTGAAGCATCGGTCCGGAAAACATAGGGAAGCCATTTTGCGAAGCTGCCGATCAGCTGTAAAAATTGTCGTCTTGCAAAAAAACAGTCCGCGAAGCACGGACCAAATCATAGTCCAGTGAAAATCGCCCATTGGAATCACTGTTTTGCAAAGCACTATAGCGATCGCAAACCCTCATCATCATGAGGATTCGTCATTTTGCGAGGTCGTCGTCTAGCGAGGTACCATTGTATGGTGCCAAAAAAAAATCTGGCTCAAATTTTACATGGACTGTTGACATTAGGGCTATTCCAGATTAGTGAAAGATTTTCCACCTAGTAATATCCCCACTGCAGAATTCCCTCAGTTCTACCACTGGCTCTGCTGCATAGGCCAGGCCATTTGTAGTCATCACCATATTTTTGTTGCCATCTGAAGCAGCCTTTCCACCTTCTCAACTTGCATATATTGAATTTCAAATGACGGTTACTTCCAGACTCCTGCACTGAGTTTTTGGGTGTCATTTAAATTTCTGTAAGAGGACTTAACTTTTACTATCCCTCTTACTCAGGCAAAACAGCCAGTATTTCATTATATACAGGTGGTATAACTTCGTCATACCTAAAGCCTGAATGGAACTACATAAACCAAGTGTCATAGCACTTCCCAGAGGTATTATACCCATGGCAGCCTCATCCTGTGGTTTTAAAAGCGAGCAAGAGTTTTTTTATTTAAAAAATAAAGGAATAAAAAGGTTCTATGAAAAGGGAAAAATACAAAATCAGTGCTTTAGTCTCTTTAGTCTATAAACATAAGTTTTTAATTTTCTTGTTTATAGTTTTCATTTTTTATAGTTAGGTGTTGGAGTCACGAAATGAGAAGGCTGATGGGCTTTGTGATGATCACCAGATAATTAGGATAGCAAAGAGTGTCTTAGAAGTAAGCCACACAGAGGGATGTCTGCCAGCAGCTCCTGGTGGGCAACTAGTAGAAGAGGCAGAAGAACACCGAATAGGTTCCCAATGCATTCTGCCCTGCCCCCAGGAGGACTGTGCTTTTATTAACCTTACAGGCTCCCAGATAGTAGACAGTACACAGATAGGTTACAGAGTTCAGATAGGACAATGGTTACATAATGCCATTATAATTGGCATAAGGACAGGCTCTATGCAAGCTCTCTACCACATATGAGAAAGAAGAAGAAGAATGGGCAGTCATGCCCCTCTGAAGCAGCTATGACATCATCCAGGAGGGTTTGCCCTCTACTGTAGGTTAAGCCAACAGTTTAGCAATCTTGGGAATGGCACCCCCACAGTTAGGTGGGTAGGTACGTAGGTAGCCATTTTCTTTGACACAGTTTCTAATAAGACCACACTTTTATTCATAATCTCTCCTCAGATCACATTCTTTCTTTCTCTCAAACTCTTAACAGAGCTAACCAGTCATGGCTGTTACTGAATGCTCTTTCACACACAAAATCATGTACAAAAACAACATCTCTCTAGCCAGGAATAGTACAGAGCAATCACCTCACAGTTACCATTCATAAATATTTTCTCACACTTCTCAACTGTTTGAACTCTCACTTCTGTCATACACTCAGCTGTCAATCAGCACCCTTCATTTTTCATGCCATCCAATACAAACCTACAGACAAAATATATGCACACCATAAAATTGTCACACCAGCCTATTCCTCCAAGCCTCTCATCAATCTTATCATGACTTCCTTTGAACATTATCAAGGTAGTTATTCTACTTGACCTTCTACTATTTGGAGGCCCAGAACAGAGAGGTACTTTGAAGAGAGAGCATATAGGGAATTAATTAAGTCTTGATAGATTTTGATTAGACATGGGATATTTGTATTCGTACCCCTGGAGATATGAATATCAGCACCATAGGTGCTATGGAGATCCAGCCGCTCACCCCCTAAACCAACCATTCACTCACTAGTCACTGCACAGTGTGTGGGGCCATTGTCATTCTCATCATGCTAATTGCAGAAGTAGCCCAGCCGGCACTTCCCCACCCCCCTGCACAGCTGGGTGGCCAACTGTGCAGAGAGATAGGGAAGCACCGGCTGGGCTACTTCTGTGATTGCCATGATGAGAATGATGACGACCGTGCAGCAACCATTTTGTGGACCAGCCAGTTCAGGGGAAAAGAGGCTGGATTGCCGCGGCACTTGTGGTGCTGATATTCTTATTCATATTCCCGGGGATGCAAATATGAACATCCCGTGTCTAATTTTGGTTTGTGAGTAACTAGTTGCAGAACATTCTTTTAATAATGACACTAAAAATTGTATTTATTTATTTTATTTATTTATTCAGTTTTTACCCCCGCCCCTCTAGACAACATCTACTCATCTATTGTCTTGGCCTCCCTTCTGATAGCTGTGTATTCTGCCTGCCCTTTGAAATAGCTTACCTTACAATTCAAAGTGAAGAAGGTGATAAGGCAAAAAAAGTTATATTAAAATTTGTATAAATTATTATTATTTATCCTCTTTTTATTATTTGTCCTCTGAAGATGCCGGCCACAGAGACTGGCGAAACGTTAGGAATAACAACCTTCAGAACACGGCTAAAGAGCCCAAAAAACCCACAACAACTATTATTATTTATACCTCACTTTTTTCCTCAAGAGGATTCAACATGGCTTACAATATTAAAAATAAACAATATGTAAAAAGAGATGGGGGGGACAAACAAAACAGTAGACCAACTCTTAGGCAACCAGTCACTGAAAAAAATAGACTGCCTAAAGAGAAAAGTCTTTAATTGCCCATTGAAAGTCAGGAAAGAGGAGGCCAGACTCCCCTCCCATGGGAGAGAGTTCCACAATTTGGGAGAAGCAGTTACCACTGTCACTAACCACTGTTAATACAGGTATATTAATATTAATATCATTAAACCAGGTTGTTCAATGTGCATGTTGTGTTACTTGGCATTAGGTACAATTGACTGCATTCTCAAGCCAATCACAATATAAAGTTGACAATGTCAGAGGAAGACAATACAAGAATTGCAGTTCATGGACATCTTAAAGGGATCTGAAACCACAATCTTTGAATTGGGATTGATTGAACTTAATTGGAGATGGGGGTATTCGTATTCATAGACAACTACCCCCGCATGGGTGGACATAACAAGGGTCCGGCCCCCTGGGGCCAGACCGTCCATTCACCTTCCTCTTTTGCCATGGGCTCCATGCTCCCGTCCTGTCACTCTGGACCTCGCAGTCTGCAAGCCACTCCTGGCAGGAGGCGGGAGGACAAGCCTCGCTGCCAGGTCGAAGAGTGGCTCGCAGAATGCGAGCTCCAGAGTGATAGGAAGGGAGTGTGGCGCCCGCGGCAACAGAGGAAGGTGAGTGGATGGTCTGGCCCCAGGGGGCTGTACCCTTGTTATGTCCACCCATGCAGGGGTAGTTGTCTATGAATACGCATACCGCCATCTCTAAAGTTAATGTATGCAGACATCTTCAACTACCAAAATAATCTTCTTCTTCTAAAATGACAATAATACTATGGAGCTAAAATGTTTGTGTATTTCTTTCCAGCTTGATCCTATTCCTGAAAAGGTATTACAGCAGAGACCAAACACCAATGCAGTTCATTCCATTGAAAAGGTCATTGAAATTCACAGTGAGTACCAAGGAGTAGTCATTCTTATTTTAGGTTGAGCTCCTATTCCAGTGGTTCCCAACCTTGGGTATACCCAGGTGTTCTTGGACTATAACTCCAAGAAACCTGGGCCAGCACAGTTAGTAGTGAATGCTTCTTGGGTAGCTGCAGGGTTACCCAGAGTTGGGGACCACTGTCCTATTTTACAGTAAGTTGAGTATAATTCATATTGAACCACCACACAGACTGCATGAGGATAGTGAGAGCTGTGCAGATGAAGTGAAAAATCAAAGCAAGAATTTCACATCTGATCTTGAAGTGGAGAAATTCCTGAAGCTTTGTATAACATTGTCTCATAAGGAAGACTTTTTTGGAAATGGGTTAACTGAGTGGCCAATCATTTTTCTTCACTTTGATTTTAGAACTTGTTGAGCACACTATCTGCAGTTTTTCATCAAACAAGTGAGAAAATGAGAAACAGCTGAGCAAGTTATAAATGGGAATAGAAGACGCTCTGATCTAGTAGAACTTTGAAGTTCTATGAAAGGTGCTGAAAGTCTCTCTTCCCCTGATTTGTTCTTTCTTTCTTGTCCTTCTCCCAGTCACGTAAGGAGTTTCACATCCTTTTACTCAAAATCCATCCCCCTGAAAGGCCCTGTTGGTAAAGTGTCTAAAATGTTCAAAGTTTAGAAGATGAAACAAGAGATTATAGATAAGAAAACAAGAAAAGAGATTATAGATAAGAAAACAAGAAAAAGGAAAGACAGAATTTTATTTTGTTTTGTCTTGTTTTATTTTTTCTTTTCTTTAGTCTCATTTGTACTACTGTAAGAAAGTTCGTCCTTTCCCTCAGGCAGCCCCTCCATTTCGGCGGGAAATAATACAGGCTGAGTCCGGATAACTTTAACAGAAGAACTTTTATTTTCCTCCACTCCCTCCAGCACATCTTTGAACGGGTTTAACGATTTCGAACTCGGCAACAAGCCATCATTAATAACGTCCAAACTTTGATTGAAGTCCCATGGGGTTAAAGGCGTCGCTCCCCATAAGGTCCCTTGAGCTCTGACTGAGGGGGTGGGAGACTCCTCATGGCACAAATTGTCCCACAAAATTTGTGCCTAATCCACCCGTGCTCGTCTGGACCTTCGTCAAACTCCGCTGTCATCTATTCACGTTCACGCTGTAATTCCACTTCTCTCGGTGCCACAATTACATTCCATTCTTTCACAGTTATACACGGAGAAGCCCCTTTAAAACTTGTGGGATTGGGTAGAAGGCCGCCTATCTTTAGGTGGGGAAAATCTCTCATCAACCCCTGAGTACGGACCTTTTTGAAAGCTCTCCGTCTTTCTTCCCGCTTTCTCCTTTCGTACTCCTCCACCACCGTACTAAACCACACGACCCCTCCTTATCCTTATATCCCTCACTAACTGTCACTTCTGACTCCTCCCCCTCCCCATCAGCCAAACATACTTCTATCTTCACCTCCCTCTCCTTCTCCATCACCGGTCACTTCTGACTCCTCCCACTCCCCATCAGCCAAACATACTTCTATCTTTACCTCCCTCTCCTTCTCCATCACCACCTTTCCCTTTTCTTCGTCACTTTCTCCACTAGCTCGTTGTTCCTTCTTTCCATCATCCTTTTCTACTTTCACTTCTGCGGACGGCACACTCTTATTCTCCACACTTTCACACGCCCCCCCGGAGGAGTGGGCCGTCCGCTCTTCATCACCGCGCGCATCCCCTTCTCCCTGTCACGAAAAATAATCAGCATTAGCGTGATTAGCACCCTTTTTATATTTCACTTGGAATGCAAAAGGTTGTAAACTCAAATACCAACGTGTTAAATGAGGGTTAGCATCTTTCATTCTATTCAACCATTGTAACGGAGCATGATCAGTCACCAACGTAAAAGGCGCCCCCAACAAGTAATACTTCAATGTCAAAATGGCCCATTTGGCAGCCAATGCTTCTTTTTCAATTGTTGTATGTTTCTGTTCTCTACGACTCAGTTTTTTACTCAAATACATAATCGGATATTCTATCCCCTGTTTCTCTTGTGCCATCACAGCTCCTATACCTTGGTCTGAGGCATCTGTTTGTACGATAAGGGGGAGAGAAAAATCAGGTGCATATCTTTTGGGTAATTCGTTTAGAATAGATTTTAATTTATCAAAAGCCTCTTGTTCTTTTCCTCCCCACCTCACATATTTGTTCGTTTTCTTTTTTGTAAGATCAGTCAGAGGAGCCGCAATACCAGAAAAATTTGGTACAAATTGCCTGTAATATCCTGCTAATCCCAAAAATTGTTGTACTTCTTTCTTTGTTTTTGGGATGTGCCAATCTGATAATTTGTCTATTTTTTCTTCTGATGGTTGTATTTCCCCTTTACTTACTATGTGTCCCAAAAATTTTACTTTTTCTTGAGCTATTTTACATTTAGACGGATTCACAGTTAACCCAGCTTTTCTGAGTTCTTTTAGTACTAACTTTATATGGGTCATGTGTTCCTTCCAACTCTTACTGAAAATGAGGATGCCATCAATATATGCTCCCGCAAAGTTATTAACGGGCTCCAACACCTTATCCATTAGCCGTTAAAAGGTGGCTCCTGCCCCATGTAATCCAAAAGGCATTTTTTGGAATTGAAATAATCCCTTAGGGGTAACGAATGCTGTTTTTTCTTTGTCCTCAACTCTCAAGGGAATTTGCCGGTAACCTTTAGTGAGGTCTAATAAGCTGAGATAACTAGCGCCCCCTAGTCATTTCCAGTAAGTCTATTTTGAATTACCTTGGTGATATTTTCGAGTCATATCTCCTTTTTTGTCCGATTTGTGTTTGCCCTAAATGCTCTATTTCTGCCACCTTTTTCAAATGTTCCCTCATCTCAAGTACATGTTGTACTGTAAGTTGAGAATTATCGGTCCACTCTCCCATTTTTCTTTTATTAAATCTAAGATACCTCGAGGGTTCCAACCATACATCATCTCAAAAGGAGAAAACCCTGTAGTGGCTTGTGGGACTTCCCTAACTGCAAACATAAGTGGAGCCACTAATAAGTGCCACCGCCGAGGTTTTTCCATGACTAATTTACGTAACATCCCCTTTAAAGTTTCGTTAAACATCTCCACTAATCCGTTTGTTTGCGGGTGATAAACGGAAGTATGAACTGGGTCTACATCTAATAGTTTCCACATCTCTTTTAATGTTAAGCTCATAAAATTACTACCTTGATCTGTTAATATCTGTTAATTCCCTTGCAATCACTTTGGCAGTTGTTGATCGGAGAGGTATTGCCTCTGGGTATCTTGTTGCATAATCGATTAACACCAGAATGTGAGTATGTCCTCCTGCTGATTTTGTCAGTGGCTCTACTATATCAATCCCTATTCTGTTGAAAGGATGGTCTACTAAAGGCATTGGTATTAACGGGGCTCCTGGTCTGGGTTTGCTCTGCGTCATTTGGCATTCTTTACAGGTCTTGCAGAACTGTTGTATTTCTCCCTGAATTCCTGGCCACCAAAACCTTTGGGATATACGCGCTATCATTTTTTCTGCAGCCAAATGACCAGCTGTTGGAACATCATGAGCTATCTTCAACACGTCTCTCCTCCATTTTATAGGTACCACCAATTGTCTTTCTCCTTCCCGATTTATGCGGTATAATAGACCCCCTTCCATTTCGAATCCCTCGAGCAACAGCCCCTACCGATTGTGCCTCTTTCAATACCTTTTGCAATGTCGGATCATCTTGTTGCCACAACCTCATTTGATCCCTAGAAGCCTCTTTCCCGAAATCGGTTTCAATTTGGCTTGTTTCACAATCCCCTTCTAACCCCTCTTTGTTCTTTAACAATTCACTTGCCCCTTCTCAATCATGTCCCAATAGCATTTCCCTCGATAGTCCCGGCACCACTCCCACTTTCATCCTTCGACATTCATCTCCAATTTGTATATTAACCCAAGTAGTAGCATATTTTTTTGAGTCTTCCTGAATACATCTTACAGTCAAATCGTCAGGTACCGTAGTTCCCTCCAAATGGTGCACCAAAGTTTTGCTACATCCCGTATCTATTAATGCCCTTTTTGCATGTCCATCCACAATCGCTATCACTTCCCAACCTTCCCGCTCCGATCCCATTAATTTAATCGATTCATTATTTTGTCCTGCCCAAGAACAATCCAGTCCAGGGCATTGTCTTTTCATGTGGCCAGGCCGGCTGCAGTCGAAACATACAGGCTTGCCGTCTTTGCCTTCCTTCAGCCCTGTGCCTGGTTCAAACAGGCGCTGGGCATAAGTAATGGGACGGGTCAGTTTTGGGCGCATCGGCTCAAAGGTTTGCGGTTTTCCCCTGCCTATCACCGAAAAGGACATCGGACCACGTGGCATGTTGCTGCTCCCGGTCGCCATCTTGTCCTGTGGGCGGGTCTTCTCAGACGTCCCACTAACGTGCTCTTTAGTTCCCTCCTCCGCTGCGCAATAATTTTCAATGAGGCAAATCGCCTCCTCCAATTGCTTCGGCCTATTTCTTTGTAACCAACTCCGCATATTGGCAGACAACGTAGATACTAAATGTTCCATTACAAAGGTTTCTATAATTTCATCTTTCGTTTTTTCTTCTGGCTTTATCCATCTAATTACGTTAGCCTTCATACGTTGGCTTATTGGGCGCGGATGTGTCCCTGGCTTGAATTTTAACTCACGGAACTTTTTTCGGTATGCCTCCTCAGTCAAGTTTAAAGTTTGTAAAATGGCACCTTTAACTACTTCATACTGGGTGGCTTCTTGTATAGATAACGTGTCCACTACTTCTTGTAACACTCCTGTCAGACATGGTATTAAAATCAATGTCCACTGTTCCTTAGGCCACCCGGTCACTGTGGCCACTCTTTCAAAAGTATGTAAATAAGCTTCGGGGTCGTCTGTGGTACTCATTTTTTGCATCCGAATTGGAGTAGGACCCGCCTCTTTTTAATTCCCAAAGTACAGTTTTAAAAAATCCACTTTAGGGTTAATTT